TGGTCTTCCTAGGTGGTGCCAAGGTCGAGATATTTCGAAAAACCGTATTTATGGTCCGATTTGGTCCGAATTTGGCGTATGTGGTTGAAACATAATAAATCATAGATTTCTTATAAATTGACCCTGAATTGGCGCTGAAGTCAAAATATAAAGTATATTCTACATAAAATACATGTTCTATTTGCGTTGAAAATTCATTTAAAAGCAATATTAACAAAAATATAACGATGGAAATTTATGTCACGTGACGCCACGTAACGTCACGTTTCACACTTGGGGTTGTAAAAGAGAATTGAAACAATTTGCATTAATTGAAAAAACTCTAAAAACAACTAGAATTGCTCCAAATCATATTAAAATAAGTTTCATGAAAATATCCATCCACAATTCGCAGAGTTTTGCAATTTTGTAAGAAAAGAAAAAATCAACTTCCATTTTTTGTCACTTAACGACACTCTCTTTAAATGCTTATATTTCAGGACCAAGCAGTTCGATTGATTTCATTTTTCGGTTAAATATAGAGCTAGTTATATGCTATACAATGGCCCAAAAAAGTTAAAGAAAACAAATGGTATTCCTTTTTTGTATCACATTGAAATCGTACGAGTGTCACGTGCGACACCATGGGAATGCCCATATACGTTTTATCAGTGCACTTGCACAATATTCGCATTCGCAAAAGCTCCGCATTGATTATTGCGAATGCGAAAGCGAATGCGAAATGCGAATGTTAAAATTTATGCGGAAGTTCCGCGGTTGCGAATGCGAATGCGAATATTCGCAACAACCCTGGTGACAACTCTCATGCAATGCAAAGTATGCATAACTGAGCCTTTAAACTTGCCTAATATTTTTTATTGCGTATAATAAACAAACTGCCTATCCAAATTAAACAAATTTGGTATCATATGAAAGAGGACTGAGATAGCGTTTATACAGAAATAACGAACGAAGGTAACCACCGCTATTTATTTTTTTATTTTGTTACAACAGGTAATCTCGAGAACGGCTGGTCCGATTTTCATGAAATTTTGTATATAAATAGCTTTCAGTAACCACCATGTTTTAGGCTAAAAAAAAAATACTTATTTCGGGTAGGTGGACCAGGGACCGATCTATTCGAAAAAATCTTATTATGGTCCGATTTGCTTAAAATTTGGTACGTAAATAGCTTTTTAGCATATATTGGCATACATTATCAATTTTTTCCTGGAAGTAGTCCAGGGACCGATCTGTTCGAAAAAATCGTATTTACGGTCCGATTTGCTTAAAATTCGGTACGCAGGTAGCTCTTTAGCATATATTAGCATATATGATCCATTTTTCCGAGAAGTGGACCAGGGACCGATCTATTAAAAAAATCGTATTTATGGTCCGATTTGCTTAAAATTCCGTACGCAGGTAGCTTTTTAGCATATATTAGCATATATGATACATTTTTTCCGAGAAGTGGACCAGGGACCGATCTATTCGAAAAAATCGTATTTACGGTCCGATTTACGTAAAATTTGGAACTTAGGTAACTTTTTAGAATATATTAGCATATACATATGATCCATTTTTTCCGAGAAGTGTACCAGGGACCGATCTATTCGAAAAAATCGTATTAACGGTCCGATTTGCTTAAATTTCGGTGTGTAGGTAGCTTTTTAGCATATATTAGCATATATGATCCATTTTTTCCGAGAAGTTGACCAGGGACCGATCTATTCGAAACAATCTTATTATTGTGCGATTTGCTTAAAATTTGGTACGTAAGTAGCTTTTTAGCATATATTAGCATGTATGATCCATGTTTTCCGAGAAGTGGACCAGGGACCGATCTATTCGAAGAAATCGTATTTATGGTCCGATTTGCTTAAAATTCGGTACTTAGGTAGCTTTTTGCCTGTTTTACAGTTTTAATGCAATTTCGAATATAAATAGCTTTGAGCAACCATCATATCAAGGGGCGAATTCGTCACTAAGCAAGATTTTTTTGCGCCAATCAGAAACAACGGATACTGTCAAAATATAATTATAATATATAATACATCTCAACTAATATATATCTTGAAAGCCGTTTTTTAGTCTTCGCAAGGCTCGAGAGCGGCTGAACCGATTTTTTTGAAACTGCCACCTGCCGCACGTGTCCCAAGGATAGTTTTAGGCTAAAAAAAAATCTATATGTAAAGGGGGCGTGGCACCTCACATACAAACCGAATTTCTCATGCTACATATCTCTGAAAGTGTGCATGGTAGAGTTCTGGAACTTGGTATGAAGATATACGAAATCAATCGCATACCCTTGGAGCTATTGTAAAAAGGGGTGTCGCATCTCCCACACAAACCAAATTTTTCATACTTCATATCTCTGGAAATTTCATGGTAGAGTTCTGGAACTTTGTATGGAGATGTACGAAATAAATCGCATACTCTTGGAGAAAAATTGGAACTATTGGAAAAGGGGGCGTGACATCTTCCATACAAACCAAATTTTTCATACTGCATATCTCTGGAAGCGTTCATGGTATAGTTCTGGAACTTGGTACGGAGATATATGCAATCAACTCTTGAGGAAAAATTGGAACTATTGGAAAAGGGGGCGTGGCATCTTCCATACAAACCGAATTTTTGATACTGCATATCTTTGGAAGTGTTCATGGTAGAGTTCTGGAACTTGGTATGGAGATATACGAAATCAATCGCATACTCATGAAGAAAAAGGGCAGCTGTGGAGGAAGGCGTGACACCTCCCATATAAATCGAATTTTTATACTGCATAGCTCTGAAAGTATTCATGGTACAGTACTGGAACTTCGTATGGAGATATGTATATAGTTGAAATCAATCCCATACTCATGGAGAAAATTTGGGCTATTTGAAAAGGGGGTGTGAGGCCTACAAACGTACCGACCTATAGCTATCTTTGAATTTATTTATAATTCTTCTGTAGGTGTGTTTGTGAGTGAAATCCTCCTAAATGGTTGTACGGATTTTAACAAAACTTTTTGTGTGTGTTTGAGTGAGTCTCTGGATGGTTTAGTTTCACAATTTAATCCGACAGTTGGCGCTGTAGTTGAGTTATTACTAAAAATCTTATTTATGATCCGATTTGGCTAATGTTTTAAATAATTATGCAATGCTATTGCAAAAACGTGCTGCCAAGTGGTGCTGAAGTCGAGTTATTACTAAAAATAGCCAAGTGAGAAAAGGGGCCGTGAAGGTCAGATTAAATCGACCTGTTGCACCATTGAGTATATCGAACGCTCCTGCGTTCCGATTGGCCCAATGGATGTGATTTTCCAATATTATTATGCGTTCAAACTTTTAAGGTATTTCGTCTGAAATAAGTAGATGTATATTGCATTTCTGTAGAACAATGATCCGCACCCATTTTGAAATTGCCACCAACTATACTGTAAAGCTTCTAGGACATTCACTATAGAACCGGGTCATTGTTGCCGCCAGGGAGTGAAGAGGAAAGAATTTATTTCGCTTTGCGAATAACCGTGCTATGAAATGCCGCACAACTGGAGAATTTCAAGTACTTCTTCACGGATATAACACTTTCCTTAGGTTATTTAAAGCGGCAAATGACCACCAAACCATAATCTTAGCAGACGAATGTGCCAATCAAAATCGTAAACGTAAATTGTTGGTGAAAATGTTGGACCAAAGTTTCAATAAAATATATAATAATTTTGGGCGGGACGAAGTTCGCCGGGTCTGCTAGTACTAAATAAATTCATATACATACCTGACCCAACTTTTGTTCTATGGTAATTAATTACAATTTTTTATTGAAATATTTTCCAATATGTGGCTTTCCTCGTTTAGGCATTTCAGTTTTAAAGCTGTTTAAGTCCTCTTTCATTTGATACCAAAATTGTTTAATTTGGATAAGCGGGTTGTTTATTATCCGGAAAATACTTTTATTTCGGAATAACAAATATTTGGCCAAGTTTAACTCGTAAAAAATAACTGTAATTTCCCGTCCCTTCAATATTCGCATTCGCAAAAGATCCGCATTGATTTTTGCTAAAGCGAATGCGAATGTTAAAATTAATGCGGAAGCTCCGCGGTTGCGAATGCGAATATTCGCAACGACCCTGGTACAGAGATATGTATGTGAAATCAATGTTGGTATTAATCGATTGATTTTTTAAACAATTAGTTAATTCGATTAAATTCAATCTGATTACAGTTAATTATGATTAATTTTAATCTGACTAAACAGTTAATCGTAACCGCGATTAAAAAAATTAATTTTTAATCATTAACACTTAATGTGATCAAGTAGGTTTGGTGATTAATTAATTTATGCTGGAATTTTCCTGTGCACACAAAGAAAGTTAATCCGGTATGGCTAAGTTGGGTTTCCTCATCAATCTGAACAATTTGGTGTGCATTTTCATTAAGGTCTATTCCAACAAACTTTTTACAAACCAGGTTTGTAAATGTTCCCAGTTTATGTATTACTAATAACAATAATTATAATTTTTTTATATTATGTACTTTTTATAAGCGTAAAACACAAAATAATTACTATAACTGGTGTTCGGTTTCAAATTCGGACAAACT